TGTTCCGCCCCTCAAGGCTAAGAGGAACCGACGTATTCACCCATTCACTCCGTTTCCCTCTGAACGGAGCATTTGAACAGCCTGATCATAATCTTTCGAAGCTCGCAGACGTGCGGTAGCTCAACCGTCAGATAGAGATGGAAGACGACGTACGCTCATTTACTATATCGGACGATTCGCGGAGGGGGAAAACTGAGCTCTGCAGGCTCCCGAAATATCGATGCGTCGATGCACATCGTCGAGTGGTCGAGCGCGTTGCTCCTCGAGCGGAGAAGCACGAGGTTCGATCCCCGTCTCCGGCGAGTCACGCAGCTTCAAGCCTGCATCGGCACTTCAGTAGGTTGTCTTTCTGAGTCTTTTCTCGTCTAGAATGTTGAGCTCGCTCGGATAATAATGACGACGAGAATTCAATTATAGGGTGGGAGTAGAACGTTCAGCGAGCTCCTGCACGGAGGACGCGCGAACCCTCTTGGAACCTCTCTTGCTCAGCTTCGCTTGCTCAAATCGGGAAGTTCCATGTCTTGATTCGATTTTTCCTGAAGGCACTCGAGCTTTTCGATAGGCAGCACGCACGTGGATCTCTGTCGCTAGCTGACCAAGTACTCAGAGGAGCCTGACGCATGCGGACGCTTGATCCGAAAGATATGACTTACAACGGGAACTATGTCAACTGCGACAGCGATGCTGGCTTCGATTATCACAGAGGCCCGGTAAGAACCGCGAGACGTCGATCTCATGAATCTATCAAACATTCCATTCGAGCTGGACAATACTTTTCTAGCTCGCATCTCTGATGCGAGGCTTAATGTATTTAGATAAGATGGGGGATATTCTTCTTGTAGATAAGATTACTCAGATTTGTTTCTCTCCGAAGGAATGGCTCTGGCCAACTGGATACTTCCTCCGGGCTAGGCATCAGCTAGGCTAGGCTCACTCTCGCGAATGATCCGCAGGCTGCCTGGAGAGAAATTCGGCGGTGCCTGCAACCGCATCTTGGGGCTCTTGAGAATTCTCCGTGGAGGGGTTTGCCCGAGCTGACCAACCAAGACGGCGCTGAGTGTCACCACTCGTGCCCAATTCAGGCCTGGAGTCACTGCTGTTCGCTGGAGGTCATGTATCAGCTCCATGACTAGTCATCTCTTTCAATGCATTCCTCTCGGGCGCAGGGCCATTCATGAGGCATTCGGTGCGGCGGAATTTCCCATCGGGATGATGCGTCGGGAGAGAGATTCCGCAATCAAATCAACCGAAGCTGATATGAGATTTCGGAGTACCCCAGAAGTCGAAAATAGAAAGAATCGGCTGATGCCTATCCAGTGAAGGAGAGAGAGTCTTGTTCGCCCGCGCGTCAGATGGGCGCTTTCTTGACAGGACCACTCCCACTCCCTTAGGAGAAATACCGTCTGGCCGCGGGAATCGATTCTGCGCCTTCCCTGACAGCAGTAACGCCGGCCTAAGTAAGGCGCGCGGCCGCATGCGTCGCCAGGAGCATCGATCCGACAATCTGAAACATTTTCCACCGATACCTCGAGATTTATCTGTCACAGAGATAAATACCCCGTGACCTTCCCCGTCAAGAACGCCGGAATCTACCGATGGGAGGTGTTCCCGTGTAGGATTCCCACGGGAAAGAATGAAGTTCGATGCGCTACCTTGGAAACCTTGAATGCCGGGGAGCAGACAGCCTCCGATAGAGGTCGAACCAAAATGTCAGGAGAGTCTGTCATAAAACTTTCTTCCCCGACCCCTTCGTTCCCAAAAAAATATCGAAAATCAAATCTCGGCACCACCCTGTTCTCACTCATTCTGCCGCATATTTCCTGGCTCTGGGTGGGATGCACCGACGGTTCATCTGATTGTCTACCTTCCGCAAGAAACCTTCCGGAAGCCGAGTTTCTGCCACGGTTCACCGATTACCGACGAATCACCTTCGGTGTCGATGCGAATTTCTAGCGGCAGATGGGTGCCCAGAAACGAATGCTCTGCTGATCGAGGAAGTAAAGACCATCTCGACTGACTATTCTCTGAAGCGAACGTCACCGCAGTCCAGCTCGTTCGCGGACACTGCCCGACGCAAGAAATGCAGACTCTTTCCGATACACGAACGACATGCTCTCTCAATCACAACTCTCTCCCGAAACGTTGCGCGAGTCCCATGCTGCTCCGCTTCGCGGGACTAGATGTCGGGGCTGAGCTGGTGTCTTTGACGGAGCCTTCATCTAGAAAGCTACTTGCCCTGCGCGGCCCCTACTTATTCGAAATTCGGCGCGCGGCTCAGCGCTGCGGTGCCCCTTGCCCACTTGTTTACGTCCGATCGAGTCTCCCATCCATATACCGGCAACATTCGTCGACGGTTCCCTAACAAAATACGTCCAGGTCTTGATTTGGAGCGTCACGAAATTTGATGGAGACCTTGAAGTAGCTTCCTCCTCCGTCAGATGCTGATTCGAAATGGAGTCCGCAGAACCTCAAGTAGCTAGCGATTTCTTTAGGGGGATTCAAGTGTTCCCAGTGTTCATGGCGGAGTCCAGGCCGCATTTTTATGAGACCCAAAAATTTTCGGACTGTGATTGCGTCATCGATGGCAGCAACACTTGCCACGTTCTCTGGCGCGCCGTTACCCACGGGAACTTATCCAGTGAAGCGCAATATTCTGTGGTGTGTGCCCATTGGCTGTGTGATGGAATATCGGTCTCAGCACAGGAGTATGTAGACCTCCAATCCAAGGAAGACATACCTCTTAAGATCAGAAACCTTCCTTCCAGATTGTAGAAAACTTCTTCAAATCTCTGTTGAGAGCTAATATAAGACCTCATGTCCTCTTCCTTACGCCCGGTACTCTGTCAAATTCTGATGAATGACTTCCAAAGATGGATTCCAATGGAGATTCGGACCGCATGCGGGAACTATTGCATTCTTCAGGGGATGATACAAATTTGGACGCGACCAGCTACGCGGTCTTTAAGAATCGGGTGGAAAGCCTGGACTCACCGGAGTGGGGGATAAGAACGTCTATGCAATGCCGCATCATATTCAATGAGATCATCAAAACCCTGCGCATACCTCATTCCTTCGTGGTATGCACATGTGGAAGACTCTAAATTCAATTCAGTCACCGGAAGATCGAATTACCATTTCTCATGACAAGGTCTTGTGCTAGGAAAGAACTTACTTTGGCATCGGCTCGTATGCAAAGAACCTCGACGCAGTCGTTATGTCATCAAGCCAATTCTTCTTCTTCGCGGATCTACCCCGGGGATATCTTCCAACCAAGCAACTACCACTCGCGCAGCTCTGTTACGGGCTCATCGACATCGTCGGGAAGACTTATTTCCGTCATCGGTTTTTGGATAGCATCAAATGTGTCGAGACAGGTAAGGAGTGCGAGATTCCGCCTCCTGCTGCCTCGACTTGGAGGCAGCCTCTGATTGCGCGATGTGATCAGATGGACCGAATCAGCTGGATGGATGATCCGATAGAGCGTCTGGGAGCGACTCGATTCCGAATGTGAGTCCACTCCTGGACGGGAAAGGAGTTGAGCGCTTTCGCTTTCATTTCCTGAGTACCGGAGACCCATCCGTACTCAGACGTCTGTGTCGTGTTTTATCTATGGAGCGCCTCCTCCTCTCAGGTCCACGGGCCGAGAACTCGCTCTAGAACGCTGGCACGAAGGCGAGACGTCTCCGTAAGAACGAGCTTTACGTAGTCGCGATTCTCAAGCTATTCGTGCTTATATAAGCGCCGACAGACTCGCTTTCTTTTAGTAGCGCGTTCGCTACACGTTAAGTCTGGCCCGCGGAGAGAAACGTCCCGTCTTAATTTCTGTTCCCTGAATGCCGCCAGATAAATTGAAGGTGCTCGCTCTGTTCGCAACGATGTCCCACCACGATTTCTCTACGACTATTGAGAAAATTTGGAAAGCTGAGCACCCGTACAGGAGGAAGGCGTTGGACGGCAACAATCGTTCGAAAAGACAGCTCACGTGAGTTGAGAAACTTACCTGAGGAAATGCTCTTTAGGTTCATCTTTTTCCTGCGCCTTTCCGTCCACCAAGTTCCTCAATAATCCCCAGGTGGAGATTAGAGAAAACCTTAGAGCTCGTCGAGAAGCATTCATTACGCGAAGCTCGACGGCAAATATTCATGACGATGTTTCTGCCAATGAGGAAGCTTTTTCACAAAGCCTTCCTGCAGAATCTCTCGGATTTCCAATGTCTCGAACCTACGCCCCTTTGCGAGAGGCTGGACGTACCGAAATTCAGAAGCTACCTCGTACTCGACCGTCGATTGAATCGTTTCAATCTTATCAAGCACTATTATAAGAGACCGGCCGAGGAGGAAGAATCATCAGAGGACGAAGACGATGAAGACGATGAAGACGATGAAGACGATGAAGACGATGAAGACGATGAAGACGATGAAGACGATGAAGACGAGCTACCTCGATGGTTTCGAGAAACAGTGAAATCGGAGGTCAGTAACCTCATCCAGCAGGAATAGTCCCGATCGGAGCTTAAATTCGATCTCCTTCATCGAGTCTCCGATTTCTCCCTTCCAAGGCATTCGGTGGATATTATGGTGACAAGTTCCAGAAGCTCATCCGTGTCATGATCACGGGATGCTTCTTTCCTCTGCAACACCTCCAGAATCCCTCTGACTATTCAGCATGCTTCGCCTCTCTCAGATTGAGACGAGTATTATACGGTGTGCTGTTTCGAGATTATCCCGAGCAGGCTCGAAGAGAAAAAATTCGTCAATTCTTCTTCGTCAGAGGTATGGTATGATACGTGAATTACCACATCGAGATCATCGTCATGATGACCTCTGGTAGCCCGAGTGCGGAATGGTTTTTTTGGAATAAGATGCAATCAGATGCGAGAAGGAGGCTTCTGATAGAGGCCCTGACCTTGGCACCCGAGTCCACAGAACACATCTGGATCAACCGGCGTATTTTCTGGATGGTTGTAATACCGCCTTGGAGCATAATCGATTCGGCGGAACCTAGCGAGACCATCGACCTTCCGAGTTTGTCCAGAATTGAAAGCCTGGACCTTGCAACGAGGAAACGAATATTCGCAGTCGCCATGGGTAAGTCTCGCAATTTCTCTTCACGAGCCCATCTTCTTTCGAATAACCATCAACAGCTTGCGCATTCTCCAACCCGCAGTCGGAAACTCGCAGTGGCTGGGAACCACTCTTGGCGCGGCAGCGGTCGAATACGAATACAACCTTCTGCTGTTGAGATCGTGGGCGAAACGTTCCCCTGAGCTGGAAAAAATTCACGTGACGGTGCTGCTGCTAAGCATCCTGATGATAGAGACCGAGTGAGTGATCTCTGGCTGAGCGCCTCTAATACATTTGATGGCCGAATTTATTGTGATCACGTTCCCTAGGACTCTCCCTGCGAGGATAGGATCATTGGAACACCATTATTTCCAGGTATTGCAAGAAAACCCGATTCTTTCCATGGCCGCTCCACTTCCGCGAGGGCGAGGAACTCGCATATCCCGAGAGAGAAGCGCGGATCCATTACGAACACGTACATCCCTTTGGGCAGCTGCAATCCGTCACTGATACAGCTTGTCAACTGAATTTGGTACTCTACACACCCCACGGGGTCCGCGTGGATTCCGTCCGGGAGTTTTATTCAGAAGTCCACTTCTACAATTTGCTCTGTGACTGGTACCCCATGTCGGAAGCGCAGCGAGACGAACGGCTAACCGAGTTGTTCGACGACGACTGTCGCAAGAGGTTCTGTCTCATGGTGGATGCATTATACGGGGTCGATGACGAGCCCGAGAGAGCGCCCCTGTATCTATCCCTATCCTCGAAAGGTTTCTCGGAAGAGGAGATTTTGGGGGGAGCCTTCCTATACGCAGACATAATCAGATAAGGAGAAGCGTCAACCGTCAACTTGTTTGATACGATTTCGATCTTGCCTAGGAATACATGTCAATCCAGCAATAGTTTCAGCTTGTTCTCTTTGGAGTAATCTCGGAGGAGCTGATTCGAGAGATGAATTCGACAGTCTGTCTGGTCGGATCGTCAGAAGTTGGGGGAGGGTAGAGCCCGTTTCGGCAGTCCGAACCAGTCGGGTCCTGAGTCCCGAGCCCCGATTGCTCCCCCACTCCGTCATTTGCTTCGGTGGGCCGGGTTCTCTGGAGCCGGGATTGGGATATGGAGGACGGCGTGACTTGTTGAAATCCATCCTTGCGTCTCGACAGGAGAGCATCGGAGAAGGGGAGAGGAAGGAATCTCATCGCCCTTAGGCGAGCCGTTATCCTGGAGCTCTGCGGGTGCCGGCTTTCGAAATTCGATTCTTGAGGATCCCGAGTTTCTCGTCTGTCAAAGACCAGATCGAGGACCTGACCCGATCATTCGAAATCGACTCGGACTGTCTTGAGAGAATCTGTGGATGAGAGGATCCACCAGAGCCCTCGAATATTTGCCCATGATTAGATGTTCCGCATCGTTCACGAACGTTCTCCGAAACGTAAAAAATTAAAAATACGGCTTTTCGATACCTCTCGTGGATTGAATTGGATTCTCTGACGAGGGTTCTGGAACGCTTCAATATAAGGAAATCTCCGTATCATATCACGATTCGCCGAAGGCGGACAGGTGTGCCCCCGGATGGCTCCGCCATTCCTAGATGGGAAGGATACAATAACGTGACGGCTCCGGTGGAAGCGGTCTCGATGGCGGAGCGTGCTCTCAATCCATAGATTCAGTCGGTGTCTTACGGATCGTCCAAGCAAGCCACTGAGCAACGGACCGAGCGAAGCTCGTGACCTTCGGCTTGCTCATTGTGTCGTCATTTTGCAGAATTGAAACTGTTGCAACGCTGAAATTCGAGACGTCGCGCTTGCTTGCCTATCTTAGGACCGCGCTGATCCATCAGATTTCTCTCCCTATGTAGAGGAAGGTTTCGAAGTTCCACTATCCCGCGCGGCAACTCGGATGCGGGATGGCTCCCTCCGGAGAGATTCTGCCAGAAGTTTCGATTTTCCACCAATGGAGCAGGTTCCCTCGGGAGGAAGAGAATCCGCGAGCGATCGGAGTCCTGGAACGGAATCTCCCGCTCGAAGATGATCAAGGAAGCGGATTGGTATCAGCAGGAATACGCATGAGCTGAGGAAATTCTCGCTCCGTTCCTTCCCGAAAACAGGGTCCAGCGTCGACCTCCTTCGAGAGTTTCAGAATCAAAGCCCCCCACGCGGTCGGATAGCTGTCCGGCAATCACGGTACATACCAGGGAATCCCAGTGAAGAAGGAGCACCCTAGACGTGCGCGGAGCCCACGGCTGCATCCAACCGCTAGTCGAGTGACAGGCGCGACGACGACGGCAGCTGCGGCGGCGCTCCGCTCCGGTGATGTCTTCTGCTAGCGAGTCCATCATCAGGCAACACACCGCTGCTCCCTGACCGACCGAAAGTCTAACTGGTTGCTGTCGTCGTTGTTGTTGTTGCTGCTGCTGCCGCTGCGGTCACCGCTTGAGCCACAATTTCCACAACACCACCGGCCGAGGCAGCCGCCGACTTGGATAGCAGGCACCGCAGACAACAGCCGTTTGTGCGTGCGTGCGTGCCGTACCGCTCCTCCGGCCTCAGTGTGCTTAAGGGGTATAGATTTCAGCCAGCGGAGGCTTTCGTTTTTGAAAGAGTTCCCGCTGTTCCCAGAAGGAACTCGAAACCTGTCCTTCGTGAGTTCCTCCAACAGTGGAGAGGTAGACAGCTGAGCGGTGGAGGACGATTCCGGGTGAATCTCCGAGTTCCATGAGAAGCCCCAGTCTCTCCGAGGCTCTCGAAAACATCCACGGAAAAGAGGGCCCTGAGTGTCGGATCCGAGGGATTCTCTGTGAGAATACTGTCCCTGGTGCGGCCTCTCCTGAAACTCTGCAATCATGGCTACGCTCCCGAAAGGCCTCATGGGATCACGGAGAACGTCGAACGCTCTCGATACAGAACGGGAAAACTTCGAGAAACTCCAGGCCCTCAGCATACAGAAGGCCATAAATTCGAGCGAGGGCTCGGTGAAAGAAAAACACGTTCGTTTCATACTGATCGGGACCCACCAGGAACGCGGTGAGTAACAATGACACGGGAGACGTTCCCTTTGACAACAAGACTTGACAACGCGCCGCGATATTTGGCAACGTTCCACCTTGGGATCGTCGTTTGCACTTTTCGCCGAGCGAGCCTAACCATCTCTGTTCCTCCTCGAACGATCGTTGTCTATAACCAAGTCCGTACAACGTCTGAGTCCATTCCAAGAATGTTTCGCGCTCGGTGAAATTCCAGACCACCACAAGGTCTGAGGGATGCATTTACGAATATTTGCTCTGACCAGTGTTTATTCCCCGTGTCCACTGGCTTGTTGAGATTGCCTGCGGACCGGCGAGCTTTCCATTAAATCATCGCTCGCCCACCCTCCGACGAAGACTGCTCCGACGACTAGGCTTCATTGTCGATCCGATTCAGGCGGAATTATCAGACATTTCGAATTACCTCGCTCGATACGACGAGAATGATGTTGCTACTCCATACGAAGCCGAACTGACAGCGAGAATCAGCTGGGGGCCTCTACGGCCCATACGACCGGCGCGTCTTCCTATTGACGTTGATTGCATGACTATGACGGTCGCGAAATGTCGCAAATTGATTCATTCAGAACAATTTGATCGTAGGTCACCGCCCCTACCGCGACCATATCGAGCATCGCGAAGTGGGGCCGAGACATTGACTTATATATCGATTGGAAGAGTAGGGCGCGTCACTACTCGCGACCCCATAGTCTTGATCGAAATTCCAGCCACAGAGCGACATGGCTAATCTCTGATAATTTGTCTGGAGAATGAACATGAATATTTCTTTAAAGGTCCCTTCACCTTCTGGGAGTTCGCAATGAGACTGCCGGTGCAAGAGAATCCCATTCTCGCTTGGAAATTCTGCTACGTCGTTCATAAACTCCTGCGCGAAGGCCACGACAAGTGCATCAATGTTAGCTTCCGGTGGGTGTGACTCGGTTTCCGTCGGCGCGTGCCCTGTGATTTAAACGTTCCAAGAGATCGACCTGAGAATGTTCCCAGCGAGATTGGAGCGCCTGCTACTGGGGAATTGATTCAATCAAAAATATACTCCAACAGCTCAGGAAATGTACTGATGAGTTTCCTCAAAGCTCGTTTCTGGGGGTTATCGATCTCCCGTCGAAAAGCCAAGGACAATGTCGGAAGATTTTCAAAGTTCCCCCATAGAGTCGGACCCACCGATTTGGAGAATCCTCTTTTATATACGATGATGATGATGATTATGTGAACGGGAACTCGTATCGCCCTGAGCAGATCCAGTCTCACACTAGCTCGGCGGATACTCTTTCGGTTCCGGCTGGACGGGACTCCGTAAAATCATTTTGGACGAGCTCTTGACGCGAACTCCTCTTCCCCAGGTACATGAACAAATTCGGGGATCTTGGCAGACTTTGGGGACTCTTGAACGAGGGATACGGCCGCCTCATCGAGCTTTATTGTGCCCTCATTCTACAGAAACTCAAATTCCACGCGAGGTAAGAACTCCGACGACACCAAACAAAAAATCCACGACAACGTCCGAGAGCCGGAGCATTCGTCCTATCAATTTGACGAATTCGGTCATTCTCATTTCAGATATCAAGGGATCCCTGGCACTCTCACTCTCTCCGACGAGCAGCTCAAAGCAATATCCGAAGATGATGTCAACGTGACTTTCCAGGTGATTAACGAGAAAGGACCCTTCCTGAGCATTTCCGCTGCAGGAACATTCTCCCGATCATCTCGTTCGAATGAATTTCCAGAATATCCCACCATTGTCGTTCTGGAACTGGAGTCCGTCCGAACCAAATCCATGATAGACCGGTCATTCTGGCTGTCGTTGTAGGTAGCGAACGATATTCCAATCTAATTTACTGCATCGACAGTTCGCCTGCGACATATTCGACTACATGGAGAAAGTGCTTTCACTACAAGCGGCTGTTTTCGGCTCACTGGACATGGCTCGTTCCAATTCGATGACCAACTCAGGCCAATGTCGTTTAGCGCCCCTGATCTGCTGCATACAGGTGAGTCTTCGATATTCCCGCTGTATCTGGGGCAACGTCAGTAACTCGGGCGAGAAATCAACGATTAATAGTCGTAATGTTTCAAGATGTGCTAGATAGTTCACCTGCTCCTTCGATTACTCTAAGTGCTTCTTCTTCTTTTGTTCAGGACTCCTCTCAGCTATACGATTTTGCTGTCAAAATACTGTTCAGTCTCCACGCGCAACTGCCCCCCGATACTTTACAAGTGAGTGACTCCCTCGGAGTAGGAGAAATCGGCGATGATGAACAAGCGATTTCCATACGATCGATGATCGGATTACTCAGTATTGGTCGAACAGGGGAACCTAATCGCCACGAAATCCGGTTTTAGGGACACCGCGATCGCTTCCTCGCACAATTTAAGCAACTCCACGTGTTCTACGCCAACTGTGCCAATCTTCAATATTTCAAAACTCTCGTTCAGGTCAGTGGGCACAGAATACGCAATTTTTCGCATGAGTCGTCGCACGGATCTTTGGGAGGTCCCGACGGGATATCAGTGAAATCATTGACACGATCCTCATCTCGATTGACTTTGAAAGAGTTTTTCCTCTGCAGGTGCCTTCACTTCCGCCTCATCCGCCTAACTTACTGAAGGCTTCGGAATTGAATTCCCACGTTCGACCCGTGGTCGTCCTACCATCACAGCCGGAAGTCGCTGAGGATCTCATCGACACGTCGTCTCCGGTGAGGGATCAGCGTCGTGTTCCGACATCGCACGGAGAGTGAGCTTTATCCATTTCTAGTTCATGAATCTGAATGTTCGATTTCCCTCAAGATTCATCAGTCGATTCTGGACGGCGCAAGCCCGCCACCTCCTCCGAGAACGGCATCCGTGGACAATGATCTTGCGCGGCGCAAGGATGAAATTATCGAACAATTACTCAAGGAGCTAGAAGAATCCAGAATCGATGGACAGAGGGCTCGTCGTGAAAACGAGCACGTCGTCCGTGAGCTGCGACTCCATCAGGTTGGTCTCGGCAGTGGCGAATCAAACCGTTGAAGAAGGCGCTTTTGTGGGTCGGTCCCGGGAAGAACCTCCACCCAATTTCCGCAATCTATTGCAGGCTCAACAGGAGAACCAGCTCAGGTTGGAGCAGGACAACGTTCTGCAATTGCAGATGCAACTCGCGGCGCGCTTCGAATCTCAGCAGGTATGCAGATAACCCAAGGTGGATTTGAAAAGAACCGATATCGGCGAGGCTGGTGAGAAAAAATCATGATTTGTCTCCTTCTCTCCGAAGATCTCGGCTGCGATGCAGGAACAGTTACAGCAACTCGAGAAGAAAGCCAAGCAAAACGAAGAGAAGTTCCTCAAAATGAAGGAGGTTTACACCAAACTCCGCGAGGAACATATCGGATTGCTCCGAGCAAAAGCTGAACTGGAGAAGAAGGTCCACCAACAAAGCTCGGAATCTGCGCAGCACAGCGAGGTACCGCGAAACATGCGATTCTATACGATCTACATTCCTCAGAACTATTCCGATTCCGAAAATCGAGCGCTCTATTCTTACAGAAACAATCCGCCTGGCACACCGCTCTCGTCGGAGTGGCCGAAGCCGTTCTGGACGGCGCTGTGTCCGAACTGGACATTCCGTTCGATCAGGATCGTTTCCTGCAGAACGCTGAGATTGTCGAGACTACTCTGAAGTCGATGGGAGGTAACACGGTGGCAGACGCCGACGACGACTATCAGCTACAGGCCACCTGCTTTACTCTATCCCACCAGATGTACCAGCTGCTGCAAAGTGCGAAGGTCAGTTTCTTGAGGTTGACGAAGGTCGAGACTTTCATTGGCAGCGGAGATTCCGCTGGTCCGCCGTTTTATATTAAGGTCCTCCTAATCTTCAGGCTAGTGCCCATCATTGCCCCAATGTTGAGTCCAGCCACGACATTGTGACGAAAGCTCGCCAAGTGGGCCAGACCACAATCGAGTTGCTCAGAGGTGAGTTCTTTCGGCAGTCCGGCTGAGAAACCGCTGATCTCCGGAGGCGGTTATAAATAATTATTACTTGTATAAGTTACTCCTGTATAAGAGCTTCTTTCCTGCAGGCATCCGGAACGGTCGGGTCGACACAGCGGGATGCCTTGGTCATCTTAAGAGCTTGGTCTCGTGTGTCGAAACATTGTGCCTCAAGGACCAGGTGAGATTCTCTTACCGCGGAGGAGGAATCCCTTTTCCCACGATCTCACCTTCGGGAATTTCGCTCTAATGTGATCAATCGTCCCGTTCGCAGAACAAAACGAATGAAGACATAGGATGCCTGCTGCAAGAAGAACTATCGCAAATGGACAGAGCGATAGCTGATGCTACGAAGAGAATCTCGGAAATTCTGGACAAGTCCCGAAGCACGGATCAGGGTGTGAAACTTGAGGTGAATGGACGGATCCTCGACGCGTGTCGCTCCCTCATGACCTCGGTAATGGTCCTAGTCAAGGCTGCGAGATACCTGCAGGAGGAAATCGGAGGATTCTCCAAGGAGTTCTTCACGAAAAACCACCGATGGACCGAAGGTTCGTGTTGCCGTCCTCGAATCCCGTTCGCCGCCGGTCCTGCTCTATCAACACAATCGAGAATCCGATAAGCTCCACTTCCCATTCCGTTTACAGGTCTCATTTCGGCTGCTAAGGTTGTCGGGATCGCGGCCAATCTCTTGGTGGAAGCCGCTGATCGCTGTGTCGTTCAGGGCGCCAAAATGGAGGAACTCATCGTTGCTTCGCAGGAAATTTCCGCAGCTACGGCGCAGCTCCTTGTTGCGAGCAAGGTTCGTGCGAACAGCTCGTTAGCCCATGCGATCGAATCTATTTTTTACCAAATTTCCGAATTTCGGACGGGATTCGCCTCTTGCAGGTCAAAGCTGATCGGAAGTCGACGCGTTTGGCAGCATTGGGTGCAGCGAGCAAAGACGTCAGAGAGAACACCGCGAACGTCATCGCCACCGTAAAGAGTTGCCGCCAACAAGTACGTTACTTCGAACGAATTCCTCCTTCGCGAGAGAGGGAGGGAGCAGAGCTTTTCCACTCGACTTCTATCGCGATTCTCATTCGGCTGAATTCCTTGACAGGTTGAGGACACGAGGGACACTCTGGAAGGTTTGAGCCTGCATCAGGCGAAGCGTCTCGAGATGGAACTCCAGGCAAGATTTCGTCGGAAACACTGCAGCGACTGTCGGGAGGGAACAAGATGGTTTGGGTTCTAATTTTGTCTCTTCCCGCCGCAGGTTCGAGTTTTGGAGCTGGAAACCGATCTGGAGAAGGAGAGACTGCGCTTAGGTGCGCTGAGAAGACGGAACTACCATGACGAATAGATCAAAATAATTCCGAACTCGGAATATCTATGCTTGGATCACGTTCAAAAGAATCTCTTAACAAAAGGAGCTCGAAACTTCCCCTCAAGGAGACCCAGCTCCGTGGGAATCCGTGGTGTCGTAGAGTTACTGGCTCCCCACTTTTTCTGAACTCTCGTTGATCTGGGACTTCTAATCGTATTGACGGTTACAATCTTTGCGCGTCAATTAACATTCTTCGATAAGGTCCAGCTCGCTGAAAAAACATTTATGTATTCGCTGCCGTTTGTGTGTGTTTAGATGTTGCGCTATATATTTGTTTCGTATGAAGAACGATCAGGAGTCGACTCACTGGGATCCGCATCCGATGCTCCGATCGAGATGATTGCTAAACTTGATCAAAACCTGGGAACATACGGGAGCGAAAGAGATTACTGATCTGGGATCTCGTCTCGTCCGATCGTCTTTCTGCGTAGAGATCGACGCATCATTAATAATATTGGTGAAAGTTTCCGATAAGACTTCCTAGGGGTTGGCCCTACCCTCTCATACATCAGGTGATGCCACAGCATTCCTGGAATCCGCGCATGAGTATTTTACATACAATAATAATCAATCGATCCGACTTGACCCACAACGAATGCCATATAGCCGGAAATACTCCTACGGCTGAATCCTAAAATACTTGGGTTGATGGAGATTCAGTCAATGATGCATATATCTAATGATGGGAGATAGCGATGGCCTCCGAGGGAAGTCCGGCGACACAGCGGTAGCAGCCGAGGGGTCGGAGTCGCCAGTATGCTATCTGAACAAAAGTCCGTCTCCTGTCTCCATAGGTTCAGCCGCAAACGCCGTTTTTGAGGAATCATAATAGAAAATAAGCTTCGGAGAAGATATGACGAAAAAATAAAGCGTATGCGAGTCTGAGTGATCCGATCAACCTGTCTTTTGAACCGATAGCATAGTCCAATTCCATGAGGCGATCCCTCAACAGTTAAGAGAACGATATATTGGCTTGAATACCCGTACCCGTTTATTCTTGCTTTTGACACTTCTTCTCAGTTCCCGCCCCTCCCCCCCTCCCTCTAGTTTCCTTGGACAGTTTGATTACTCCTTCCCCTTCGTGATTTCTTATTTAAGTATTTCAATGCACTATCAGTCTGTCCTCGTGTTCAACATCAACAAGGTTTCCGGTCCATTGCCTAGAGGCCAACTTACATCATCTATTAGTTAGACCGACTGACGTCTTCTTGTTCCTCTTCTCCTCTCGATCTGAGTAATCAATCGGCGTTTCCTTTTTTATCAGAATAAAATAACAGAGCAATCCAGAGATCATCGGGTTTTGTCGTACTCCTCCTGTGGACGACACATTCCTAGAGTCTTACAATTATTTAGGTATGTTTGGTTTTCTCTCTCTCGCTCGCCTTTCTTCTCTCTAATCTAGAGTATTTATACCATCATAATAGTTTCCAACACACAGAACACATCCTTTTGAAGCTCGGAGACGGAGCAGAGCTCAAGCGGCGAGTCCTCATCGAGCCGATGGTCTTTTCCGGAGCCGGAACATACAGTCGGATGCGGAATTCGCCGTAGTGGCCTGTATCCATTTCCGAGTTTGCCTAACAACCACCGTAATTATGATCAATGTATACGAGCTCAAGATCGGTTCAGATTTTTCTACAGAGAATGGGCCCGTGTGCTCGGTGAAGGTCCCGCGAAGCTTAGGTCGGGCCCGGACGCGAGTCCGTCGCTCTGACCGTCTTCGACGGTCACTCGAGTCGACTCTTTTCAATGATGAGATTCAGAAGCGGTTGCAAGAACTCTCATATTCCAAACCGCAACGGTGTATTTGTAAATCGCAATGAAGAAGACAAAAAATTTGTTCTGTGAGCTCGCTTTCGCGATAACGAATATACGAGCGGAGGACTTAGATCGGGTAGAACTATTATCGAAGACTAGAACATTGATGAGAAAATAAATTGATGGAATAATGACAAGCGAAGTGAAGAGATTGCTCCTGATCGAGATAAGGGGCCACTCGGGGTAATCAGCCAAGGATACTGATGCCGACCCTCTCCCGAATCAATGGTGATCAACGAATTGACTAGAAACAAATTATGACCACAGCTCCGGTCGGAGCTGGAACGCAATCGACAACTCCACTGAATTCAAGCTCGAAGTGCGACATCCATCAAAAAATGTGCTTTGAACATCGGATAATATCTTCCAGTCCCAGAAAAAACGTTCCCCGACATACGTGCACACAGGCATACGCGCATACGTAAGTATGTGTGTTCGAGTATTCTCAAAACTGCACAATCCGGTGGCTCGGCAGAAACGGTTTAGGCCTCAGTTCCCGTGTGTTTCTTATGAAGACATATATAATGTAAGGTATGTAAAGTTTCTCTTCCCCTGTTCCTCGCTCTCTCTCTCGCTTTCGTTAAAAGAAGACTGCTCTTCCTTGTTGGAAAAAACACTGCCGCCCTCATAAATTATCTTGCTCGACATCGTTCGCCCCCCTTCCCTATCTGGAACCTACCCGATTTTTGTTGAAGTGAGATTGTTTTACAATGGCAATTCTCACAACGCATCCACAGTTTGACGCCGCCGATATTGATATGCGACCAAACCAGTGCAGCATTTACATACACTTGACCTCGAATAGCGGGGAATAATTCTTGTTTTGAATTTCGCCTCACATCGCCCAAGCATATATCTCTCTTTCTTTCTCTCTCTCTCTCTGAGACCAGTATATAGTCGAAAGGAAGCTCTTTGGTTGCTTGCTCCATCAAGTATTAGTCAGTCAGCTACTTAGTTAATTATAAGTTGGGCTCCTCCGAAGCGCTTTCAAGTGTCGGCGGTTGATGATATTCCGATCGCAACAACAGAGAATTAAGGAAAACTGGGACCTTGGCTCCGGCGATGGTCAGGTTGTTCGTTTCAGGTTGACTCAATGGGCTCGTCCGTCGGAGTTCTGTTGGACATTTCTCGCTGAGAGCTGCTCGCAACATTTTCACTCTGAGCTGATCCGCCGTCCCCTTGGCAGTCCACGGTGGAGATGTACTCGAGGTTCAAGTCTCCAGGCCAAGAAGCAGAGTTCGCTTTTGATGCCCGAGACAGCTTTAATTGCTATTCTCCTTGGGGCGTCCTCTGCTGTTTGGACTGGGAGGCGCGCAGTGACCGTTGCCGTGGGAGTTGAGGATGGCCTCGAGAAGTTTCACCGCTTGTGGATGCCGATGCGTTCGACGTGGTCGCAGCGGCCATTTCCTGCGAGAAGCGGTCTCGTTAAGGCGCGATAGCGATGAAATGCGTTTATAATGAAAATTCTCTACTGCGATTGCGTGCGAAGTATAAACTATCATTCGTTTTGTCTCTGGCATTTGACGACGGCTGCAAACCTTTTCCGTCGGAGATCCCAAGGCTAGGCTAGACATCGAAGACGAAAGATTTATGGTTGACGCCACTGACAATGACGATGGATAGTGCTGGAGTATTTCGCCATTGCCTGGTTCAGATTCCTCATCTCCTGGAAATAGAGCACGACATCAGAATCTCGCCGAAGGTGGCCTCATTTCGAATCCTCTTGTGCCGGGGCGGATATTGTCGAATTCCACTGACCACTTATGCATGTGTCCACCATAGCCTCGAGGGCATTGACGAATAAGTCGACGCTGTCGAATGAAGCCGGTTGAGTTTGAGTATTCGCAGCATTGAGTTTCGTCGTTTCAAAGGGTCCGGCGAATCGCCACAGCCCACCAAAGCCAATGCCTGGAACAGAAGGCAGACTCGCGTCGTCAGAGCCAGCTCGGTTGAGAGATCGATTCGGAAGTTTTTCGGTAGGAGTCACATATCCCGACATAGCTCGATGTTACCGAAAAATACTCACTTTGCAGGTATAGATGCATTTGATTCTGGTACTGTTCCTCACAGAATACCACCATGTTTTTGATTATGCATTGCACGGCCGAGAGGATTATTTGGTCATAGCCCATAGAAACAACACTATTGATTTTCCCATCAAGGAGTGGAATGATTACAGGGAACACTTTGGGAAAAACGACGGAGGCTTCAGCAAGATATTCGTAGAGAATGCGTGCCTGTGGAAAGAATCCCGACGTGAGCAACGTTCTCCCTACGCACGGACGAGCGGCGTCGAAAGAAGTTCCCGCAGAACCGAAACCCCGGATGTTCTCGTGAGTTCTCTCAGAAACGAACCTCGTTTTCATCGGTTGTGCATCTGACGAGTGTTGCTAGAATCGTCAATGCTAATGCCTGTTGAGAAAATTCTACCAGGACCTCGGGATCCAACAGGACATTGTCTTCGTTCGAGATCGATACACGACTGGCTTCGACAGGTGTATCCGGAACCGGTGGAGCCGTCGGCTGCGGCGAGGCCACGTGCTCCGACGTGTGACAGTCCTTCAGAGCTGGTGGAGCTGAAGCTACGGGCAGCTGTTGAGGGGAGAAAACCTGCTGGGCATGTGCAGATAGCGTTTGATTATGGAATCCCGACGTGGACGGACCCTCGTCCATCGAGTGTTCCCGCAGCTTCTGACCCTGAGCCGTCGATGGTGCCGAGCTCGACCGGAGGACCATTCGCTGATTGCTCCCAGACACACCGTCCATCGCTACAAAGGAAATCGTGAAGAAAGGAGTTCAAGCGAAATCATTATCGGAGGGGCTTATTATCAAATTGATTTCCATTCCAGAATCGGAAAGGAGTTTCCCCTCGTGATTTTCCCCGGGCAGCATAATGATTCCGCCGTGGTCTTGGAACGCATTGAATCATCGAGGACGGTCGAACGAAACCAAGTTCTTCCGGATCGCCTCTCATCGGGTTCCGCGCGCTCCCAAACTCACCAGTGTCGAATGACTTCGTTTGCGTCTGTCCTGCAGAGACACACTTCGATAGGAGATTCGGGTTCTCCTTCTTCGGTGAAACCGGGTTCACTGGACTCGTGGCACCGGATTCGGCCGGTCGGTTCATCGTTATGGCTGGGGTTGTCCGATGTTTGAGATGACAACGGGATCGCACTTCTCCGGAAACTGCGACCAGCGCGCAAAGGTAGGCCACGGATTCGGCGGTCACTTCGAACTTGTCCCGCTTGTGGGGCTTTGCGACAATGGTTAGGAGAGTATTCAGGACGCGAGTGGTTCGTGAGACTGTCGTAGCGGATGGATGTCGGTAGCCCTTTGCCAAATGGCCAACCAGAGCGAAATGGAAATGGAACGTGAAAGACAGACCCACATAATGGTCCAGTTGTTTAAAGTGCCATTCCAGGGGATCACGTGTCGCCATCATGATATTTCTCAGCGTATTGGGAGCCTCGAACATTCCTTGGGAATCTAGCGTGTGGAGATTCTGCTCCAACAACGCCAGTCCTGCGGCATATAGTTTCATTTCGTCCAATTCAAGCACAAAAATCGCCACCCAGAACAATGATCGGTGGATCGGTGATTCGGCACGGATTAGCGGTTGCAGTCTCGTAAGACACATGATTATGGATTCGATGAGCTGCATGTCCGTGAACGACTCGAGTGCTTTGACGAGAATTCGCAGCAACTGTCGGACTTCCTGGTCCCTGACCGATTTGCAGATGCAACCGTACACGATTAGGGCTCGAGATTGTATGGCTGGATTGTAGCGGAACGCGAAACTCTTGGCGAGTGTCGTCCACTGATGCAGCCAGTCTGAGCCGGGGGCGTTCATGGTGCAAGCCTCCATGATTTCGAGCAGCGCGTCGGTGATGACTTCGAGCGATGTTAGTGGAATTTTCTCCGAATCGCTTCCGATACTGGTAAAGAGCCGATCGATGTGGAGATCATTTTGTCGGTAGTTGTTACGGAAGGCTGTGACTGCTGTGGATTTCACTTTCGAAATGCCGAACAGTAGGTAGAACTTTGGCAGAGAGAACTCGTCCAGCGACAGACGTAGGATGTGTTTCCCGTCGCTGAACGAAGGCTTCGAACATGTGCACAACGAATGAATAACGTTGATCACGAGGCCGTGGATCGACGCGCGTAAAGACAGGGGTCCGGTATGAACCAACAAGGTGATTATGTGAAATAGATACGGTAGATGGCTGGCAACTGCAAAGGGAGACAACGGGGTAGCGTTAGTCCTTCTCCCCCGAGCTTGACTGAATCGGGAATCAGGCCCGATTCAAGAACATGGAGAGAAAAAGAAAAAAAAGCAAAAAAAAAAGAAACATAGAAAAATCGAAATGCCATCTTCGCACGACGAGACACTCACCGTCCAGCGAGTTGTTGAATGATAACATGAGGAGGTATCTTGCCAAAACGGCGATGTCGTTCCACATCAGATGCTGTTCTAAACAGGTAGTCGGTGAATTGCATGTCCGCTCGATCACACGACATAACCTGCTTATAACTTTCATAGCGACCAATTGGACGTTCGCCGAAGCTAACGCCACTGCGGTATCGGCCATAATTTCTGATTGTAGCGACCCGAGGCCTCTTGTCACACTCCGCTTGATGAAACTGTCTAACACCATGTCCAACAGGTCGGACACTTGACCCATCTTACCCCATATCTTAGCTTGGATGCTTGGGTACATTTCAATTTCCTCAATTGTCAACGTGATGAGCTTGTCCAGGATCGAGGCCACCCGTTGGCGTCTCTGGTCGTCGGTGTGTTTGCAAAAACGGGTGAGATTCGGTAGCCACGGCGTCATGTATTCGAGGCAGAGATGTTTCAGCTCGATTGAAGAGTTCGAAAAGCCTTGGATGCATTCTTCGAGGAACTCCAAAGTCAGATGGTACGCAGACTGGGAGAGTTTATCGCTGATCTGCTTTATGAAGATCGTGTTATTCGACGGAATGCAGAGCCCGTTCGTCTCCAGTAGTTGGCCGTCGATCTTGAGGTCGAAAGTTTGCGTGAGCGCGCACATGAGGTTGTACGCGGCGGTCCGAAGACTCGGATCCGCCGACCCGAGGTTCAGCAGGGCCATGTTGAGCAGTGTGCCAGGGACGTCTTTCGGCCGAATTTTCGTGTGTACCGTCACGGAGTCGGGCTGGGAGAGCTCCCAACGGGTCCGGATGTGGATAATTGCCTGCACGATGGTATCGCAATCGTTGTGTATAAAAGATAGAGGCCCACTTTCGTCCGCGATGGTCAGGGTGAATTGGTTGTCGTCGACCAAGCAGACTTCTTCGATCTCCGACGCGTAGTACACATCGTTCAGCAGAACGGAATGCGAGAGGACTTTGGTTTTTTCGGCGGACGTCACCTGGATTGCGGTCGGCCCAACTTTGATCGCGACCTTGGTGTCTTTATGGCTGAGTTTGAGGGCGTTATTGAACACTTTGAGGTCCTCTTCCAAGCTGAGCGTCGCACCGGGTAGTTGCAGCTGTTCGACGTCGATAAAGTCGCTCAGACGGGACGGCGACTCGACGAACAGAAGTTTCCGCGAACCCTTGATCGGTGCGAGAATACGCTCGTGGTACTTGGTGTACTCGCGGACCCACGAATTGCAGTTGTAGATGTAGACAGCCTGAACGTTTTCCATCACGACGTCCGGCATGACCAGAAACCACTTTTGTAGATATTCGGTACGGAAACGGTTGTCTGCCGACGTATGCGTGAAATCGATAACCACTTCGATTGGCTTTTTACAGTAAGGTTTGAGGACTTGAATTACGTGATACATGAGGAGGTCGCCGTTGACTTCACCGATTTTATAACGGCGAGCGATGTAGTAGAACACCGGATGACCGGCTTTGCTCGTCCCGCTCTGATAGAATAGATTCAGAGACTTGATGGATTTGTATTCGTCTTTTTCGAGAACGTTGTGGCGATTCATGAACTCCTCGAATTTAGTGGACGTCATATCCATGCTCGACCACTGCGAGTCCATAGGCTTGTGTTCCGGAGGGCCCAGGTAAGCGAGCAGCGTTGCCATTTTGTCGAAGGGTCGTCTTCCCACCGCCTTGTGATCCCTGGACGAGGACAGGTAGTCTCCGATCTTTTCCTGGTGATTCCAGAGCAGGCGGTGGAGAGCGTGTACGTTTGCGTCGCTGATGAACGGCATGGCATGGGTAGTTGCGTCGTTGGGCTCACAGTCCGACGTGATCTGCATCACCCAGCGGCGGTTGGTCTCGAAGTTGGCCCGTAGGAAGTCGTTGAACGGGACCATGTGCTGTTCCTTCGAGAACTCGATATGGTTGGCGATGTTTTGTAGAATCTTCGACATGAGCATTAGACCACGCTTCGTCCGCGACGAAGGCTGACGGTCGACGATGCCCATCTCGTACGGAGCAACGATGGCCGGATTAATGAATCGGAGATAGATTACGGTCCCGACGGCCGACAGATTATGTGGATAGTTCGGGAATCTCTTATTGAGAACCTGGTATAAACAGTGACACATGGAGCGCAGTTGCGGCGGAAAGCTATCCGCCGATTGTATGATTGCCGTGAAGACACGACTCGTCAGCTGGAGCAGATTTAGCCGATTATCCTCTACATTGTCCGATGGATCAGTACGCGCTGGATCTACTTCATACGAAACCTGGTTCGCCGCCGGCTCCAAAAGCGGGGTGATGAGAGGTCCCAGCAAATTGAGGAGGTACGACGCACCGTATATTTTGAAGCAGAAGGCCATTATTTTACTGCCGAGGGAGTTCCCACGGAATAATGTTGTCATGCAATCTGACAACTCGACCTCCTTGTAGAACATGTTCCACAGAAGAGGACTCAGTAAATGCTTAGCATCGAATAATGTAACGAATACCCTGGCTAATTCATCCATCTGAGGAGTGACCACAACACTGGCAAGTGCCATGGCGATTGGAAGTTCGCCTTTGTCACCGATCATGGTGACAAGTTGCACCAACTGCTCGAATCTGTCGGCGAGGACCGTTTCGGCGAGCATGTCGAATTCGGTGCCCTGTTGAAGGATCTTCGTGAGCACCTCCATGAAGGCAGCGCGAGTCTGGAGATCTTTGTGGTAGCCGAGCCCGATCGAATGCATCAGGCCCGAGTCAATGTTGGCGCTTAGAAGGTTTGACATAGCTTGAATGGTTACCCTACGGAGCTCGGTCAATACTGCTGCTGTCATTCTAAGATTACGAACTGCTACTGTGGTGCCAGAGGGTAACGACGCGGGTCCTAGACCGTCCTTGCAATCGTCTGGGGTTTCAGTACATTCGTTCAAGAGATTCATGAATAGTGAGAAGTACTTTAGGAACAGTTGGGATTTTGCTTCCATTAAGTCTCCTCGGTCGTTTTCCTCCGGTTGAAGTGGAAGCCCGAGGAGAAGTGCGGCCACCGCCCGCATGCACGCCTGGTCGAGGTCGCGGGTCATGGCGGTCACGTCCCCACTCGCGGGCGGCGCGATCTGGTGCGAGTTGCCCATGACCCAATCGGTGAGGTATTCGACCATTTTGTTGCGGAACTTCATCTCGTGTCGGAACGACAGGTCGTCCCGACGTCCCATCATCACCTCGACCAGTTGACAGAGCTTGGTCTTGATTTGGATGGCGTGCACGGTCGTGTCGAGATGCCGCACGTATCGTACAATAGCAAGCATTAGCGATTCCATGGAGGTGACACCCAAGTGCTCGGCATTATGTTCGCCGCGTCTTTCGAGTATTGACTTTATGATGAAAATTATGTGTTCTACGAAAAGCGTGTTCGTGTCGTTGACGGCTACTTGGCCTTGCGAGTCGAAAAACTTATCGATGTTGGCTTTCACCTGATCGAACAACATTGGGTATAGTGAGGGCGCCATCTCGTGAGCCACGAGGTCTTTGACGTGTTTCTGTATCTGAGTGCCGAATTTTTCGTTGGTGCACGTCAGCAACTTCAGTACTTGACCTACAAAATCGAACACCGGGCAATAAGTAGAGCTCACCTCCAAGCTGGTCCCCAACATTTTCCGATTCTGCTCGCGCTGCTGATCTTTGGCCGTTTGCGTGCTCGATGTCGCTGATGTTGCTCCGGGAGGAAGGGACATCGACGATTCCCGAGTACATTCCCGTGGACTTGGTTGTTGTTGTTGTTGCTGCTGCTGTTGTTGTTGTTGCTGCGTCGAATTCTGCTGAGCTTGTTGTTGCTGCGATTGTTGCTGTTGTTGTTGTTGTTGCTGCGGCTGTTGCTGAGGAGACTGTAGCTGTTGCGTCGGTTGTTGAGGAGACTGTAGCTGTTGCGCAGGTTGTTGAGATGCCTGCAGCTGTTGCGGTTGCTGCGGCTGCTGCGGCGATGTCTGCTGCTGCTGTTGTTGTTGTTGTTGCTGCTGCGGTTGTTGCTGAAGTAATAATGGTTGTTGTTGCTGTTGTTGTTGTTGTTGCTGAAGCAGCAGCTGTTGTTGTTGTTGCTGCTGCTGCTGCAGCTGTTGTTGTTGCTGCAGGAGCTGTTGCGACGGAGGTTGTTGAATTAGTTGTTGTTGTTGTTGCGGCTGCGTTAGTTGTACTTGCTGATGTTGGTGCTGCGTTTGTAGTAAGTCTTGTTGTTGTTTCTGTTGTGGCTGCGGCTGTTGTTGCGACTGCTGATTTACACTCGATTGTTGTTCTCTTTCGTTCGATTGCCGGTCGACTGAAAGCGTCGTATTCACAGAACGTGTGCGGCCGGTCAGGGCACCTCGTTGACCCTGGTTTTTGTTGACGTTTTTCCTCTGAAGGCAGACGCCGCCTAGAGCAGCGAGGAACCCTGTCATATTGGCCCATTCATTGATAAGATCCTCAAAATCATGATCCGTGGTGGCGTGCGATGCTCGCCTCTTGATAATAGCTGCCCGATGAACATTATCGCCTATGGTGATTTCATCCAACTTGGCTTTTGGATAGCTGCTTAGAACGGCGCTTGTGTAAGTCCAGGTGACGAAGCTGTCCTCCCAGGCCAATAGGCAGCCTGGCGTACAGTGCTGGACTTTCCGCAACAAGGCCATGATGCGCTTTTGGAGCGCCGCACGACCCGTTAACAGAACTTGTGATGCTGCCGCAATCTCCATGTAGACGACGTAGTTGGGCATTAAATAAGTGACACTAAGATCGTCCTGTCCGCATCTTACGTCAGCTTCTTCGCAGCTCAGCGCGAAGCATGACATCGCTACGAGGACGGCTTCAATGTCGATCGACCACAAGTAGGTGAACCAAACCATTTCTTGTTTGATCTGACATTGCTTACAAATGGCAACGTGACTCCCTAGATTGGCATACTCTCTGTGTCTGGAAAAAAAAAGAAGAATCCATTGAACTGAGATCCGACCGGAGCTGAATTCGAACACTTCCCCTCCCTCGCCGCTCCCCGGAGAGAGAGAGATTCGCTTGCACCTTGGAGCGGTGCATCCCTGTCCCGACCCGTCTCGAGAGAAAAAGATTCGAGAATTCTGATCACTTACCTTCTTAGGAAGGCGTTTCGGCACTTCAAGACTTCTCGTAACCACTTGAGTATTTCCGCGAAGTTCGACACTTGGTGCTGTGCCAGTTTTTGCGCAATTGAAAATATCACCTGTGAACTTATATCCCAGAAAGAGTTGATTGGTGCCTCTGGGTTCCACATTTCGATGTTGTCGGGATGATGTAGAACCAAGGACGCTTCCATCGCTTCCTGAGCTACGTCGGGTATAGCCTGATTCAGCATTAGGGCAACCAGGCCATTGAGGAGCCCCAATGTGGACGCCTGGATCTCATGACCAGCCTTGCCAGGATTCTGAAACATCGGATCGTCTCAGTCGAAGAATACCATCGCCCTTCGGATAACCCAATTCGTCGATGAGGTTAATTCCAAAGCTCCGAGGAGACTTACACTCAGCATGAGCATTGGATCCGCACGGCACAGACGCACGAGTAGTAGCATGATATTCCGGTGACCCAGCGTTTCTTCGCCTCTCTCTTTGAACTTAAGCGTACTCACTTTCTCTTTCAAAGTTAATGAACTTATCATGCGCAATGAAGTGTGCGCCGGAAGGGAGGTTGAAACCTGAAAAGAGGAATGTAGCGCTCGAACGACGGCATCCGACAAGCTCTCCCCCGAAAGATAACCGAAAACATAGGAACGAGAATTCAGCCAGCCCGAATAATGTTCTACGATTTTTCGGATCGTTCAGAAAGATTCGGACCAAGAAAGAAGAGGGGCATAAGGGAACTCAATCAAAAATGGGACGATTGATCGGAAGAAGCGTACCATATGTTTTACCTTACTCATCGTATCGGTAAAAAGAGAGCGAAGGTCGGTTGCCCTCGAATAGAGCACATCAATTTGAGGCCACCAGGGCAGCCGAGGCTGGGTGATGATTCTGTATAGAATTTATTCTGTCGTAGATTGTCGAATTCGCTCGATACCACAAATTCAAAAGTTGCCGTCGGAAATAGAGATTAATGAATAATGTTTGTCGCATCGCCAGTCAAAGAGAGGAAACAGCATCCAAACCTGTGCAAGGCGCTGAGTAATACGTAGTGGTAGGTGGTCATGTTCACGTTGTTCGACTGATTGAGACACACCTGAATGAAACGGGAAATGTTTCCATGAGTATTGGCATCGATAGCCGATTCCGTCTGAGCCGTTTGAAGAAGGGATTCTGACCTTGAGTGCCTCGTTGTTGTGAGGATTTATGCGGAAACAGGACACGAAACAGTCGATCATCATTTCGACGTCTGCCCACATGGCTGACTGAGAACTTGATCTCACGAATGGTTTCGATGGATTAAATAAAAGGATTTTCAAGTCCTGGAATTGAGAGAAAGCATCGAGTGATCCCATACGGGCTAATCAGGAATGAATTTTCTGAGGTGGCGGGGTGACTTCTCGACGCCGACTCATCGGCAGCGGAAAAACTCATCCGAGGGAGCCAGCTCGGAACCTACCTGCATAACAGATTGCACTAATGTGAAGACAACGTTCGTTGAATCCAATATATTGATGTACGTGGATGCCTGTTTTCGGGAAGAGGTTTTGATGACTTAGAGTTCAAGAAACTTTCAGCTTCCTCAGAGAAACGCTATTCGACTTGATTCGGGCTCACCTTGCACAATTTGACGCAAGTTACTGCGGCTCCTTCTGTTAATTGTTTCGAGGCGCCATGGGGCTGTAGAGCCTTTTTCACTGCGTCGATGAAAGCTTTCTGTAATCGAATGGGGTTTCAGAACTCTATCCGAATGGTCTCCTGAATCTGTAGATGGACGCGTCGAGGCGTCTCAATCTGGATCCGCTGCGGAGAGCGCAATCTTACCTTTTTCTGATGTTTCGGGCTGCATGGCGCCCCTCCGTCTGCGTTGACTATTTCCTCCAAAATTGAGGGACAGAGGAGGAGCAGCATGATCTGCAAGGGCCACGCTTGGGCTTTCCGTTTGTTTGATTCGGCGAATAGTTCGAGTTGTTCGAAAAGTCGATCGCATATCTGTAGAACGTTTATCGTTATCCGAGTTAATATCGTGGGTTCTGATTATTATCATTGAGCAGCTCCCGTTTCCTAGGGGTCCGAACCTCTGCAAGTTCGTCATCTGGTCTCTTCTGTAATTCCATGAATTCTGCCGGGTAAGTGTCGAGCCAATTCCATATTGCTTTCTCCAAGCTGCTCATCAAGCACACGTAGGCGTTTTTCCGCGGAGTTTTCATTTTCAATGAGATTTCTGCAGAAACATAGAAAGGGGGTTAACCGCCGAGGACATCCACTGAATGAGATGCACCCCGTGTTTCCCCTTCCAAGGATTCCTGCTCCGAGGCTTCTGAAGGCTTCCCCGAGGAATCTCAGTGCCCGGCCCGGACTCACCGTTCAGGAGCTTCGTCAATCGAACCAGATCCAGATTTATGTGCTGTATCAGTTCTATGTCGGAGAAGTCGGCTTGCTCCTCTGAGGCAGTCGATAATTCGGAGAGCTTGCTTTGTATCCTAAGAGAAGACGAGAGATCGTCATGTTCCCGCCTCACTAGAGAGAAGATGTATCTCATCATCCCACGAATGCTGTCCCAGGCTCTACGTACCGAGAAAAGACCGTGCTGAAGTTGTTTTGCGAGAGAGCTTTCAGCACCTTCGACGCCAATGCTTTCAAAGGTGTTACCATTGGTGAATCCGGCATGTCCATAAGTTGGCAGAGCTCTCGTAGTAAAGCTTTTACATGGATCGCCTCGTCGAAGGTCCTTTCCGCGGTGATGCTCTGCTGCAATATTCGAAGCAGAAGTTCAGGAAACAGCTCCCGCGGCACTTATCGGAGATTGTCATTTCGAACGCGGCACCTGCTGCAAAGCTCGCGCACGCGACGCAGTAAACAGCGTCGATTTCGGACAGGACTTCCAACACGTCGGTCCGCGGTGAAAGTTCGTAAATCGCTCAACATGTCTGATGGAAACTCACTCTTGTGAAGCATTTTTCCAGGGTATCCAACACTATAAGTTGAGATTCGTAGTAGTTTTTCTCGAACTCCGGTTGAAGGGTTCCGTGTGAGCGCTAGAATTGTCATTTGCGAATATTAGGAAACCATCTCAGAAAGACTGAGCTCATCGCCCGAGCTCGGACCCCACCGTTTAATTCCACAACAAACGTTTCCACTCTCCCACGGCATCCGACATCTTGTTTGACGAGCTAACTAACACGTTAATCGCCACGGCAAAACCCAGTGACCTCAAGTCACCACCGACCAACGACCCACTCCGATCACATGGGTCGTCGACTTCCCTCGAACCCATGGAGTACAATCAAGGAAAAATTCGTCAGAAAGAGAAGCGCTCCTCATGAACAATGTGGGCTAGAACTCGGAGGAGCGAGAGTGTCGACGTGCTAGACGACGACGACGACCCTCCACCGCTCAAGGGATTACCGATGGGCCCACTTACCTCAATGCTTTGAAGAATTTTGGTCAGCGATGAGATGATGAGAGAAAACTTATGTTTCGAGATGGCGATTAGGCATTCGATGATTTGCTCCACATTCTGCTTACTATGTGTACTCGACGTACCGCTCCGACATGGTAACTGCAAGGTGGAAAATCCCGTTATCCCAGTGGTCGCGCTGCTCCGCGCGATCTGCAGTCGGTGCTCCACCGGAACCGCGCACAGTCGTCAGCTTCACAGGCGTCAGCGGTCAGCTGTTAGAGCTGACGCTGCAGCAGAGCGGGAGCTCTATGAGCAGAGAAGGTTCCACAGGTCTTTCGGGCCAGGACGGTTGCAGCGCCATGTTTCCACCAGGCCCCTTCGTCGTGGACTGATCGCGGATCGGAGCACGGCGCGGCGCCGCGCCGTCCCGCTGCCCAGGGGTGCGAACCGCACCCGCGCGTCCGCGCAACGACGGCTCGAGTTCGCAATCGGGAGGGCTGACCGAAAGACTGGCTGGCTGGCTGTACGTGGACGATGGACTGTAAAGGGTTGTGAGGGAAACGAACCTGCTCCTCGAAACGGGTGATGAGAGAGGTGACCCACTCGACTGGCTTCGGAGTCGTCATGGTCAGCCAGTGTTGAGGACTCAGTGAGATGCGGTACGGTCGACCCTGGTTGGTGGTATAGCGCTCAAGACGGTGACAACAGGGGACCCTAGAAGCGCCATCTTTCTCGACTGCTCTCTGCGGCAGCTCGGTTCTCACAGACGGACTCGGGGGCTGGGACCATCGTACCACAGTGTATCACGTGTGATTCGCGCGAGCTCAATGTACCACAGTCAGAGAGCTCGGAGAACTCCTCCTCCTCCATGACGTACACGGCGCGCGCACAGCCTCGGCTAGCGCCCCTCCAGACTAACAAAACTAGAAACTCTTAACTTAATCCGCTTAGAAAAAGTGTGAGTCCTAGAATTAGCAGCTTGCGTACTCGTTTTCACCATCGTTTCGGGAGAATGCACTCGGTCAGTCAGTCTGTCGCTAGGTCGGTCGGTCATTCGCTCGGTGGGACCAAGAGGACACTACCGAGATTACCGACTCGACACTCGGCGAGCTGTCGTCGGCTTCGCTCTTCACGGAACACGCGATCGCTGCTGGCAGGCCAGCACTTTGGGAGCGAGCGAGAAAACCCTGGACGCAAATCGAGAATACTGGATGCAACCAATATTTTCCCTGCGCGGTTCCGTCAGATCTGCTGCCATTGTGAGATTTCAGCGACTGGTCGATCGAGAAACCATGTCGAGGACCGGAGTTACCACGGGAATCCCGTGGGAATTCATGATCCATCCCGGGACCGTGTCGTAGCCGTCAGATTCCCCCTTCCGGCTGCCATCCACAAATCAGAGTTGACTGCCCCCCATGCACAAGACCTATGCGGCGGTGCGGGGGGGTTCCGTCGTTTAGCGCTAAATCTCGGATTCGCGCGCCAAAAGCTACCGGCTAGGGGAATTGCTCCGGAATCCAACGATCGTCTACTCCGTGTACGGTCAGTGCTTGTAGATGTGCTCACATTGACAAGAGATCTTCCCGTGGAATCGAGACTTCAATCCGCAAGAACTGATCGTCCGTGAGAACTGACAGCAAAATGCTCTTGGAGCCCCTGGTCGGTCGTCAGGAGCAGCTGGAAGACTTGGAGACGCTTCTAGGACTGGAATGCGGCATCCCTGTTCAGTCTGTGTACGTGTACGGCGACTCCGGGAGCGGAAAAACATTCTGTGTGAAACACGCTCTCAGGGGCCTCAACCACGTCTGGCTCAATTGTATAGAGATTTTGATGCCGCGATGTGCTTTTTCATCGATCATCAATAGCTTGAAAGTCTCCGAAGTTCTTGAAAAACTCGAGGACATCACTAAACTGACTTCGTGTGACACCTCCTCGGATTTCATTCGAATATTCACGCAAACACTGCCGATCGACGAGAAGCTCTTCATTGTATTCGATGACGCACACAGACTCCGCGATCTGGATTTGTTGACTTTCTTCTTGAGGCTCCAGGAACTCTCGAAGCGACAGGTGTGCTGCATTTTCATCTCGACAGTGCCATTTTCGCATCTTGTGTCCACAACTGATTTCTTCTGGCCGCACGAAGTCCACCTGCCGAACTACAGTCAAGAGGAACTCTGCGGAGTCTTGATACAAGCGAAGGCACACGGCTACAGCGATGAATTCTACGAGAGCTACGTGAAGCTAGTTATTTCGATGTTCAAGAACGTCACTACCAACGCCAAAGAGCTAGTCCACATCGCCAAGACCAATTTCGAGTATTATGCCGCCCCGTGCAAACTGGATCCGGATATCCAGTCGAATAGTTTGAAGCTTTGGAAGAACATCGAACCGTATTTAAAGAATGCCATGGATACCGTTTACCTGCGCGATACTGATGCACGATGCGGGAACTCCGATGGCTCGAAGATGGCGGTCAAACAAATTATAGAACTCCCGTTCTACTCGAAGTTCCTTCTGATAGCGGCTTATCTGGCATCGTATAACCCGGCGTCAACCGATAAGAAGTTTTTCGTCAAGAGAAGCAATCGGGAGAAGAGGAAATCAAGCGCCATCAGAAAACAGAAGCCAAATTATCATCTACTCGGACCCCGGCCTTTCCCTCTGAATCGACTCCTTGCCATATTCCACGCGATTGTCGATAGTCCGGTAGAGCCGCGTACAGTCCTTTCAAGTCAAGTCTCATCCCTGGTTCATCATAAGCTTATAACGCAAGCCGCCGCGAGAGACCCGTTGAGCGAGCCTCGCTATAAATGCTGCGTCGATTTCGATTACATAACTGCTATCGCAAAGACTGTGAAATTCCCCGTAGTGGAGCATCTCGAAGATTTCAATATGTAGGTAGTTCTAGTACGAAGTGATTTCCGAGCTCCGGCGGTAGACTTTTGGACAATAAAAGTTAACGTCGGCGACAAGAGTCGGTCGGGGAGCGAAAGCTTGGAGCCATTATTTGCAGAATCGTATATTTCTCTTCAACGGGAACAATGTTCCCCTTATGATGCGGAGTAAACAGTCTCGGGCCTTACGGATAGGACTCCCTCCGAATACTAAGGGACCATTACCACCGCCAGAGGGCCCTCCGCGCCTAGCGTATGCAACAGGTCTCTAGACGTCGTGAATTCTCGAAACAGTATTTCTCGACTGCAGCGAGTCCCGAGGGGCTTCCCGATATGAGCAGATAAGCCCGGTTCTGGAAGTGCGTTCTCGCGACGTAACAGAGCCAAGAATTCCAGAACCTCGGACGACGCTGGGATCGGTGCCGCCTTTCCGAGTATCGATCAAGTATGGCTGGATAATTATTATTTCCTCTAGGAAGACTGCTAGGCTCCTCAATGATCATGGAATGGTCGTTTCGATGCGAGAAAATCGAAATAGGAGCAGAAGTGTCGGTACCGCTTCTTGGGTCAGTCAGCTGTCGTCCTCTCGCTTCACTAGCTTGTCATGGAGTGCTTCGCAGAGCGGGAGGAGTCCGGGGAGTGTTCGTCTTTGAACGCCGCGCAAATCTTCATTGAGACGCAACCGCAGGGGATGTCCTAGGACCTCGGAGGGAATTACTATGAATCGATCGGCCCCCGTCACATACGTCTAGGACATGCCCGGTCATCCGCGCTCATCTGTCTCGAAGAACTGGGTTCGGGAAGAGAGAACAATGCCGAAAGTTTCCCACGAGATCGTCGTGATATACCTTGCAGGCATAAGGCCAGTCGTTGGTCGTTTTCGGCTGCAGATTTCCTGATTCTGTTTCTTTGAGCTAGACGCAGATGAATCTTTTGCATCTGGTGCCTACTTGAATTCGGGCTTTGGATTGACGCGTCTTGTTAACCTGAGCGATCGGATCGATCGCGTTGACGCTGCGTTCCTTCTTGAGACAGCTCCGGTGTCCGATTGAACGAGACTCGCTGTCTTCGTTGAGACCTCAGCACATGTTCTTATGATTCCATATGTTCTTCTTCGATTATTCGCTGTTCGACCCGCAGACCCACCTCTGTAGCACGAAGACCCAGCTCCGCTCTGGGTTTGGGGTTGGTGCATCTTCCTCAACGGCTGACAGGCGCGTCCGGTAGAAACGAGCTTCGTCCACTTACCGGTCTCGGCGGAATTCGCAGGTCTTGGTGCATTCCGATGCGAGTCGATCCGCTCCCCGACTCCATCTCCGGGAGCGATGCTCCGACGAAGCGGCGGAGCGGCACAAAGTTCGCGACGCGCGGGAACAAGCCCCGGCTCACGGGAAGTGAGGGAGTGGCGCTATTTCCCAGTACGATCCCCAATCTCTTCTGAGGATGATTCTCCGTTCTATGAGCATTCAACTCCCTATACTCATTATCGTTAGTCCTATTCTTCAGAGTATAAATCGGTAGTTCGCCCTATAGAGGGCTCGTCAGGATTGCTCCAAATTGTCACATGAGAGATTAATTATTATTCTCCCGATATGGAGTCCCCCTGCTTGAGGCAATTCGACCTCCCTAAGCATCGAGCTCATTGAATCATTTATTTCATTCTAGGGCCTAATAGGGTCTCGGACATTATGCTCGATAATGGATCGGGATCCCTTGTGACACGTCGGGTCTCCGGGCTCTTCCGTGGGAAACACTCGTCCTGGTATTTTTTGTGTGCTGTGACTCCCAGTTTGTGAAGGAGGTATCTCATTGTACAATTCTCCGTCGATCCCGGGGGTGTCCACCGGATCTGAGAACCAACCAATCTCTTGCGATAGGTCTGTATGAAAACCACGTTTGCAATACTGGTTGAGGAAACGAGTAAAGGGGCATTAACCTCTATTCCGGATGAAAGACTGAGGCACCTTATCGGTCTTCGGAGAGCGTCGAGATCCACGCCATCAACACCGTCAATATCTTCCAGTACTCACTCTTTCTACCGGAAAATAAAGGAGGAGAGACGCTGCAAGAGAACCTTCATTAGGAACTCCCTGCCCCTGGACCGCAAGGAGAAAAGAATGAGCGAAGATTTTTGAACGCGGAGATTTTCGCTTGAAGGAGGAACGCCAGCGAGGGTGCCGTTTCCTGATCTGTTCCAAGCCGAAAGCAAGATCTCCCCACGGGTACTTGTGCTCGGGAGAGCTTGTCCTTCAGCTCTAATACCATGGAGAGATTCGTAGAGAATTTCTAGCGACGTGAAGCGACGTCTCCTCCTTGAACTCCGCCCATTTCTCAAAGAAACCGTGAACATTCTCCAGCTGTATCACAGAGAATATGATTCAATTTCACTTGACGGACCCATCGAGATGCTCACACGGATACTTCTGACACCACTGTGACACTGACCGAGACGAAGCGGAAAGATCTGTAGACGCAATGCTCCCATAGATTGGAAGTTCAGGCTCTGAAAAACAGGAGAAGAGGCGAAGAGAAAGGCTCCGGAAAACTGATAAAAAGGCGGAATAAGGCATGCAAAGCGATCGGGAAGGATGCAGGGGGAAAGCCGTCCAAGGACAATTATATCGAGTTGGAGCTCTCCATCCATTCTTTCCGGCGTTGCACGTCATTCGGACACGAGGCCTATCCACGAAGGAGTTAGAAGTGTTTCTCGGGAATCAGTCATGAAGCTGTTAGGATCGGCAACCCAGGGGACCGCTCCGAGAATCGGCCGACGTTACAGCTCGACTTGGAAGAGGGAGCAGCCCACTTCGACTGCTCTAGAATGACAATTCCATACGAATAAATCAAGACTCGTAATCGACGAAATGAAATCGACTCAACGCCGCCTAATCGGATGGAGTCGGGACCGAGTGTATGACATCATCGGAAGCTGGGAATGAAGTCCCGAGTCGTGGAGCTTCTCTGAGGATTTCGCAATTGGATCAACGGGGAGTCGAAGTTCCAGCCCGGGATGTGTTTCGATCGAGAATCCAGATATTCAGATCAGCGAGGATGCGATAAAGGCAAAATTTTCGAAAAAAGACAAGGCAGAAAAAGGCAGAAAGCTGACGGAGCTTCGAAATTAGGCATTCTGAGGCGCTCACGGCATTCTGCTTGAACCCCCAATCCCTATACGTTAGATACACTAGAATCAGATGTTCCTTCTGACATACTCGGACTCGAGGGCCTAAACGCTCAACACGGAGGAGACGATCCCCCTTTCGAATAGATTCGAGCTCCGAAACATGAAGTGACTCTATGGAGTTCACTTGAGAGCAGCCCTACAAGATCTCCACGTGGACCTCGCGAAATAAGGTAGCAAGAAGGTCGTATGAAATTCTCGAATAGCTGCTCACAGGAGACTTCTGAGCTTTGAGCTCGGATATCCTCCTCAATCGGATTAGGACAGGGACGTTCAGACAAATGTTATACGCCGTATCCCTCACCAGCTCCGCTCGCGTTGCACTTCTGCCCATGGATACAATCCCGAGCGCTTGGCATGAGCAGGAGCCGATGTGGCCCTTGTAATCGAACAGTCTAGACGATTACGTACTCGTCCCCCTCAACCTTTTCTATTCGAAAAAGAAGCGCATCGAAAGCGAGCACAAAGACATATCCAGCTCGAATTCTTGTTTACACAGTGAGCTCTGCTTTGACCCCGCAGTTCCCGTTTCGACCGAGGACGCAGTTCTGGGTGCTGAACACAAACCGGAAAACCAACGGATCCGATGTCGCTGGTTCGAGCTTGATCCATTCCGGTTTCGAGTCTGCTTGGCTCGAACGATGACATGTATCGGATCTCACGAGCTTTTTTCATTGGAGAGAACTCTTCTGAAGAGCGCGGAAGCCCCTTCCATTATCCTCCGCCAAAGATTGACTTTCGACTCTCGTAAAATACCAAGGGCATCGGAATCGGTCTCGATTCGACGACGATGCTACTACTCATCTTCTATCAGGAAGGCGGAGAGCGGGCCATTCCGGGAGGATGCTCCAGTCTGGAGAATGCAGATTCAGCGCGGAGACCAGCGGATCGGATACGGAGCATCGAGGAACAGAGAGGGACTATCGGAGCCTTTATGTCGTCTGCGGGCCGGTTTCTCGGAATGAAATACTCCTCGGGTGGCATTGCAGGTGACATATGTATTTTGGGTTTCGATCAAAGTCGCCGCTCACATTGGGAAGCGTGGAAATTCTGTTAATTTGCATGAAGTCTGACAATTTTCGGATTCTGTCGCGGTTCCTTGCCGATAGTTCTATGAATAATTGAAAGAAAGATTGAAGTAAGTAGCGACAGAGAAGAAATCGCGCGTTGGACCACACAGGCGTCGAGCTCGGAAATTGAAACTGATCCGAACACTTCCATGTACTGTGTTCTGAATCGATGCGACGTGTAAAGTGCGGGAAATTTATGCCCGCGACCATGCATCGTCTCATGGATGAAAACCAAGCCAATTCGCAGAGGACGCCGTGCCGCTCTACGAAGCATTTTTCACGATGCGTTGCGAAAGCCAACCCGCGGCCGGACATGCGGAGGACGAATCACTCCATAGAGATAAATGAGCAGGCTCGAGGAATCGCGACGGATTCGCCCGAGTATCATGCTTCCAGCTTCCGATTCAAATCTTCGATAAGATCGATTCAGGAGCGAACGTAATGCCGGGCGATCGTTCGGCGTTGACCGCATTCCCCTTCGGAACCAACCCTCTCTACAGTCGGATTTTGACTGAACTGTCTTAAGCCAATCACGGAGCAGAAATTCCTTGGATGGAGCCGGATCATTTTTTCGTGACTATCCGCGGGATTCAGAGAAGGCCTATGAATGGGAGATCTGGGATGTTCTTCAGGAAGTGAACGAAGCCTCATCATTCTCCATCAGATCAATCATCATAAGAGAAGTTTAAGCAAACAAGAAGCCCATCCTGAATGCGTACGACGATCGAAGGACAATTCTAGAATCTCCCGATCCATTCGACGATTGCGTCGAACGGGACTAGACGCCTTCGGGACGAAGGGCTTGCGATGAATCCAAACGAGAAGGAGTTAGGATTCGTGAGTCACAACCCTGGGACCGCGGAATCAAACCGAAAGTACGTATGCGTCTGCAAATGCGGCGCCTTCAGCTGCCGAAGCCGCTGTTAGATAGAGATCGACCGCTGCGATGATTGAAGAAGTCTCCTATGAAAAATTCGGCTCATGCTATTCTTTTGCATTGATCTACATATTCTATCAGAAGCTTCAAAAATCACAAAGTAGGCGGCGAACAAGTCAAACAAGATCAAGATCTCGAATTTCTGACAGAACATCCGGTAGATGGAAATGGCGCCGCCTCAGAGCTTAATTTTCCGACGGTGGTTCGAATCTACGAGCGAGAAATTTATTTGAATCCCCTCGACGGATTTCGGAACAGACATCCACCGATCCGAGCTCATAAGCTCGAGAAACCGTAAGTCTTCTGCTGCGTGTCCAATCTACCCGCGGTCCCGCATCGCTGGAAAAAATTCGTGGCGTCAAATACGCCAGCAGTATCGCTATTGAAGTAATCCGTTCCAGCGTACGATCCAGTTGTTGTACTTTGGCACCCCGCGGAGTCAGTAACACCTCACGGTCCGCACCCTAAAAAACAGTTCTCGTTCACGCTCACACAGAGCCGCACGGGCGGACCGGCCGACAGGGAGGCTGGCTGTCTGGCTGGCTTTCCTCTCTTTCCTGTCCTTCTCGCCCAGTCGTGAGCAGTTCCCTTCCGTGGATAGAGAACCGGTGAAGATTCTCAGAACAGTTTCGACCGCGCGCGACGACATGCCGTCGCTTTCGTTGCCGTGACAATGTGCGCGCGTTAAGTTTTCCATCTAAGTGCGTGACGGATTAACTCGTCTTGGATTATCGAGTCTCGAGTTCCATATTCAGTTAAGAGTTGGATGCTCGAGCCTGCCATCGGCCAGCTCTGATTTTTGTGCGTGAACGGATCTGTGCGGAGCGGACAGTGCGCGCGTTTACTGTTTCTTCCTACTGGATATGTGTTGATTTTGGATTTTCCCATGGTGCTCGTTCCACCACAACAGGCGAGAATGCTCGCACTGTGCCTGACTTGGACGCTGTTTCTGTCTTGGCACAGCGTAGGAGGAGCCAAGCTTCCAGACATCTACTGGAACTCTACGAATTCAATGTAAGCTCAACCCCATCGTAACGAGTTGGAATTACCGATATGCGCGGATGATCTCAACCAGAGACCATCAGATTGATGTACACCCTCTGCCACTCCCCAAGCCACTTCAAGTGAATCGGAAATGAAATCTTGCGGCTCTGGAGTCCCGTATGATCCACCTCAGTCACCTCAGATGACAGAACACGGGAGCTACCGCGGTTGCGATCACCTCTCAATTTCTAAATTAGGCGTAGCCGAACGTTTCCGTCATCGGAGGAGGTTGAGCGAACGTCAGAGGGAGGAGAGACTGACGAGCCTTTTCCTCGTTCTCGACAGAGATCCGATGACACAATATCGTTGTATTACGATTGTCGTAGGCTCTGGGATTCTCTCGACAGCACTGTTCATTGGATAGAGGCCCCTTGATGGAGCTGACGTTCCCGCGTCAATCCATGCCTCTTACTTTCATCATGGCCCGCCAGCCAAGACTGAACTACCGACCGGTCGACCGAACAACAATCTATTGAATAAACTTACGCCCGATACAAACAAGTGCAGAAGAAAGAAAAGAATCAAATTCGTGTATATACAAACGCCTCACGAGCACCACTTACTCTGCCGATCGAGTGTCCTCGTGTGAGCAGCAGCAGAAGTCACGTTCGGGTGCTACAAAGCACGCATAGAAGAAAGGAAAATAACTGAAAAACACACTCGATCCAACAGTCGCGAGCAGACATCCGTCTGGTCAAACACAGAATTCTGATCGGCATGTCCCTCCGACCGCTAGTGGGGCCCGATCAGAATAAACTCAGATCGAAGGATAAATAATTTCGCGGATTACGGGTCTCGCTCACAAATGTCTCACTCAGTTAGAGTGATCCCGCGGAAGGAAGGCGTATTTTTGCGAGGAAGCTTCTTTTGGAACTCGTTTTTCAATTGATCAGCGACATTATTTCACGCGGTCTACTGAATGAGACCGATACCTACCTATTTCTCGTCTTGACCCCCAGTCTAGCTCCGCCTCATGTGCGTGAGGACCGGAGGCTTTTCCATAAGGTCTAGAATTCATCCGATTCGAGCGGGACTCGACGAAATGCGCTCGGGGCCTCGATGGCTGAGGAAATAATAATCATTTCTAAATCCGGGCGAATATCCTCCCTGGCGCGTTGCATTAGCAGCATCCGCGTTATCGGCAATATAGAACGTTTACGTTAGTTATATATACGCTTCTTGGTATTCGGATCTTCATTTAATCTGATTGAATCCATTGTTTGTGACTTGCCGTCGTTGCAATCACGTACACAGACAGGCACGCCCGGGTATGTGGGATACATCCCGCGATAGCAGGCAGCGCTTTCGGTGTCTTTATCTCTGGAGCGGAAGTCGACGATTGACACCGAAAGCAGAAGAGAACGCTGTGAGAATCACAACAAGAAAGCAAGAATTCCGCTGATCTACACCGACTTCGTCAGAAAAGAGAATCTAGGTGTTAAGGTGGGAGTGTCTTCTCCGAAAGGTCCACCCCCGGGTATAGTCTTTAAAAGTTATTAGCCGAACAATAGGAAACCATGAAATGAGGGAGAGGGAGAAGAAAAACAACCGAGAGAACAATTATTGCATGAGACATAATTCGACCGCGGACAAGGACTTCGCTCGCACTGGCAACATACTCCATACGGTTTGAAGCCAACGATGGAGTCGTAGTCTCGAGTTGTGATTCAACGGAGGAAGTAGCGGTGAATCTCCGGAATTCCACGAAGCACACCGAATGAGAGAGGATGCAGAGCGAGTCTGTGAGTAGCGCCCCGGCTTCTCGCGAGGATCGATGTTCGCGAACTCAGCTAAACGTTGCGTGACGCTTATAGCAGAATTCTGTGAGCATCGACGCTTCAGAGCGGCCGACAGAGCTACCTACATCACAGAAGAGAAAGATCGACGTCCTTGATACCCATGGCTGCCAAAACTCAATACGGGCTCGTGTCCGAACTTCTAATCGCCTCGCTCGTGTCGTCGTGCCGTCCCTTGCTTGACATTCTCTCGGTGACTTGTGCTCGACGTCGGTCATCGTCCACGGGGCTCGCCGCACCGGGGTCCACGATCTTCAGAGCAGGTTCCTCCGGCAGCCCACAAAGAAAGCTGTGTGGTTCCGTCGATTGCTGTTACTGAAGAAAGGTATACACTCGAGTGCACATTAGGACTTAAGGGTATCCGAGTTTTTTCCGGAGAGGGACCATGACTCCACCTCGGGGTTGACTCGAGCTCCGAGGATCTGTTACGGACGCTTTTGTATTGGTGTCGTGTTGTTCCCGGAGACCACCACCGCCGCCGCGTAAGAACCGAACAGCGGTCGGTCGACTCTTTGGAGACAGCGAGCGGGCGGGTTGGCGAGCGTATGGTCGAGCGAGCAAAAGAGCGAGTCTTCGATCGATCGATCGATCGATAGGAGAAACGGGCGAAAAAGCTGTTGTTGTTGTCCACTACGACGTTATAAATCTGGATTAGTTTTACATGCTCAGACAGAGAGGTAAGCAAGGCAGCGGCCAGCGTCGGCCGGGCGGCTGAACGAGGGAGCGAGCGAGCGAACGAGCAACCGGCATGTCGTATACCTTATCGCGGTAACGGTCATAGTTGGTGCCGCTTTTAAAACAAAATCGCTCTTCTTCCCTTCGGCCTGCTCTCGCTCTCTCTCGGTTCTTTCTTACGTTTTTGATGATAAATGTAATTCGAGATAAGACGCGCGCCGGTTGCGTCAATTTTTTTTATTTATTTCGTTTAGGGATCTGGCTAAGGGTGAGCTCCGGCGGCAGCCGTGCCGGCAGCAACAGCGTCAGCGCAGATATCTAAATACTCAGTTGTTCGCTCGAGACGGCAGCTCTTGGTTATTTATCATTATTCGAACTTACACACACCTATACACACTCACACTCAAATCCAACATACAGGTATGCCGGTAAGCCGTCGCATTAGGTTGTGCTTAATCTCGGATAGGTATTTCCCCCGATCGTTTCTCGCTCGCCGTTCGCGGAGAATTCGGCTCTGTCACCGTTACAAAAGTTTTGTTCTGCAGCAGATTTAATCTGGTTACACCGCACCGGCCGCACGCTGCCCGCGGCAAGTACGATTGGAATGTTTCGCAAGGAAATTTTTGACGAATGCGGTGTCAGCGATCGTTTCTCTCTTTGTTTTTCCGTTTCTGTGATCTTTCTGTAGAATACGATGCTCGCCTCGACGTGTGCCCTTCTATTTTGCGTCGAATCTCGTTTTCCATGTTCTTCTTTCGTGCAGGTCCCCGTTTTCCGTCAGCTATCGTCCGACAGTTCTGCGCTCAAAGCGTCTCATTGGATTTGTGCATTAATAATTTATGAAAGTCGAGCTGACGAGTTTGTCATTCCACCGCGTTCGTTGATGAAGATGAGAACATCTTTAAAAGCTCTGACGGAGTCACGGCACGACTCGACTGTCAACCGACTGCCAGCTGACCGACGCGCTGATCTCAGACGTCATGACAGATTTCGGTGTCCGGAATCCGGGAAAAAATGGGCGGTGGCGTCTGCTTTTGTCAAGAGTCTTGTTTCTTATCCTCACTAGTTGTATTCACTGTTTTTCAAACAGGCTGGATCTTGCGACCGAACGATTGACTTGCTAAAGATCCGTGCTTTCCTCACTCGTTTCGCAAGAAGCGTTCTGTCGATGAGTGCTTATCTATTCGTCTAAATATAAACGTGACTTCTTCCCTTTGTACTTAGAATCGTTCTCTTTGAAACCAGTGGTGTACCCTTCCGCTGTTCTGTTCTCACGAGACGCGCACGAGGATCCCAGGTTCTTTTCGAACAGGTATTACTTGCCAAGGGCGACTTCCGAGGCTGGTGCATCTGTCGTTTAGACTCCCCTGTTGAGGATATGGACACATGTATTGTTGATCCAAATCGTTCCGTCCCTTCCTATCTCATACGACATAAGTGCATAAGCTAATGGGATCGAGGATCGAACATTCACGGTGATGCTATTAGTTTTCTACGCGGTGTTCGATGAACGCTAGATCGTCGAAGACGTCGCAAGGCTTCTGCGAACACTTCAATCTTCAATCGTAACCGGTAGCAACGTTGTACGACGATTGTATCTTTCGTAAGAACAACCCAACGCTCCAACAAAAACGGCGATTGTAATTGTATTATCCTCTTCCACATGTGGGGAACGTCCTTGTCGACAGAGACACTTACGCACGAGCCAACCCGTACGGATAGATAAACAGCTAACTAGCCAATCGGTCGGTGTGTCGCTCGCTCAGTCGTTCGGCTGCTTAGAAATAATGCAGATAGATCGACGAACGAGCAGGCGAAATAGCGGGAAAACGTACGAAGTAGCGTTCCTAAGGACAGTCAAATGCGGTCGGACGTTTATTCCAAACTGGGTAGATTTCTGTGAAGTAATTCCAAAGCAGTCGATCATTTACAAAACATTTGCGGACGTTCTCACAGCTGTGCCAGACTAACGGGCGTTTTCTCTCCACGGTTGACAGTGTTCCTGTTCTGCCTGCCATGCGAATGTCGATCGGCCAGCCGACGATTTCACGAACACGCGGACACACTGACTAAATTTCTAGACGGTTGGCTGGCTGGCTGGCTGGCTGGCTAGCTAGCTAGCTGGTTGACTGCTTGGCCTGCCACAGCCATCGGTATGTACGGCAGCGACTGCCGCCATCGGCGCTTCTGTCGTCCGAAATGGTGTCGCAAAACATTTTAGTGCCAAATGCGTTTCATTGGCCTCCCACAGCAAGAAAAAAAAACCACTCCCATAGCTACAGGGTGTCGGACGATCAAGGCCCCTTGGAACCTCATCAGTTCCTAATGCCTGCATGCCTTCCTGCCTGCCCGCCCGTTTGGCAGCTCACTTCCTAGCTTCCTATGAGACTTTCTTCTCCTACTTCACTTTCTTCTGCTGCCGCATCTGGGTCTCTCGCGCATTTTTTTTAAACTGCTCCTCCTGTGGTCAGCCCTTAAAAACGAATTCCGACGGCATTC